AACCATTATTTATAGAAGAATAACTGGATTTTGATAAATCTTCTGGAATAACCTTGCTGGAAATACTTTCATTTCGCATGAAGAGACAGGAAGAAGATATTCTAAGGTTGGTCTCACTAGAAGAGGACGACTGAGTAACGTTGTAATGCACGACCATCAGGTGGACAAAGTTCAGGAGACAGCATCCCTCAGTTAGAGTGAAAAAGGGACTGAACTTTCACCCATCATATAATGGATGTCACCAGAACTGGAACTTATTATAATAGAAGTCTCACGTTAGCGCGTTAACACCTTATTTCGTTTAAGGTGATCAAGGACTGGTAGCTGATTTTTCCCACAATGAGTAGAGCTAAAGTTTCCATTGAATTTCACATAGCCTTGCTTCCCAAAAAGGTGTTTTCATCAAGGGTTGACTGCAGTTTTTACCTCGCCTATGCCTTATTAACACTTCCAGTGGGACTCGAACCATGAAAGTGTAGTCTATAATATTGACACTTTAACCATTACTCCATGTTGCCACGGGTGCCCTCGGGTGACAGGGCAGATGTGAATTTCAAAGAATACCAGACATTTTCCCATTTCACATTCTGTTTCATTTGCTATAGCAATTGACATTGATGCTTATTTTTCGTTAATATAAGTTGGTTTTTGAGACTACTATAAGCCCTTTATATATGAAGAGTATTTATCCTATTTCGCTTAAGCTAATATGGAGACTGGAAGTCTCGAAAATTTACTTCTAAATGAAACACGTCTTCCTGACCTATTTGTAGTGTGAGAATTTTATCAGACTGCGTTCTAGCTCTGACGCTGTCCATCAGATGATGAGCGAAAGCTCAACCTATTTTCACTCGAAACGAGGGAGGATATCTCGTGAACTGCGTCAACATGAAGGTCGCATTGAAGTCAAACGGCTGTAGTTAAATGTGACCCAACCGTTATCTTGAAGTGGGATTGATGCTCGAATCTCTTCTTCGTGCACTTTTATAAGAAATGAAAGCCGCCCGAACAACCGTTGTTTAAGCCCTCACATCAACACTTGCCAGTCACCGTTTCAGAGGCCCTGGGCCTGCGGTGCACCCGCAGAAGAAGACAAACGAAAACTGCCCAACCAGTTGTCATAAAGACAGTGCCTCGACCTGAAGATGGCGTTAGGACTCGAGCTTTACGACAAAATAGCAGCATGAACTAGACTGTGTCCTCTTGTCACTATTACCTCGGCACTTTTCGTCCTCCTCCGTGGCCGCCTTCACTGACCTGACCTGAGCGGGGTCAGGCACAAGGCCCCACAGCCGGTCATCAGAGAAGTTGTCTGGCAGACCCTTTATGTACAGGTTGGTACGCGACATGCGCTCTCCGTTGATCGGCTGCACAGACCCAAGAGTGGGGCCTATTCCGCTGCTGCTGCTGCTG